CCGGCCTGCGCCCTCTTGCAGTCCAGGAGCCCTCGGGGGATGTCCGACTGATGGCTTTAAGCCCGCTCCCGCAGGCAGTCAGACATCCTTAGCTCTGCCCCAGAGGCTGGAGAGGCTACTGCTACCACCGCTGCGCTCGCCAGCCATGAGCCGGGCTCAGAGCTTCTGGCTGAGCAGCACTCCACCTGTAGGAGTGCATTGACCACCAGGGGGTAGCTCCTGCGTTGAGTGTCTGCCCCCTGGTGGTCAGTGCGCATCATGGCAACCAGTCGTTCCACCATTTTGGCTGATTTGCATATTAGCCTTTTATTATACAGGACAGGATGTCCAGGACACACAGGTGCTACACCATACTCACAAAGCTATAATCTAAAAAGTAATAAAATATCTCAAATGGAATGTCATTAGCATTACCATCGAGTCCATAATCAGCACCCAGTTTCTGAATTTCTTTCCTCTTGTAAAACTGGTCTAAGATCTTCTTTACTTCATCTGGAAGAAACATATCAAAATTTAAAATTTGTTTCCTAAATAGAGAAATGCCTAAAAAAACAAAAGAAACCTGAAGTCCTAACACTCAAGGTGGCAGTCTACTGAATGTTGCAAGAACTTAAAGGTTTTATTTGGTCACAAGCTCTTTTTGACTTAATAGTGAGATGGAACTCCTAAAAAATTATAAAGTCAAACCATGCAACATTCCTGTTCCACTGCAGAGGAGTAAACAAGGTGCTACAGGGTTAGACACGGCCTCCAGCCTCCATCAGGCCACTTGTACATAACCGTGTTCTATTCTGTCTACTTACAACCACTATGAACATCTAATAGTGAGCAGCTAAAAGGTATCTAGAAAGACAACCAATACTACAAGGACCAGACCAATATGCTTTTATGCAAATAACTAAAGGAGCCAGGATGCCCAGCCTATGTGGCTCAGTGGTTGAGTGCTGACCCATGAACCAGGAGACCACGGTTCCATTCCCGGTCAGGGCACATGCCTGGGTTGGGCTCAGTCCTCAGTGGGGGGCGTGCAGGAGGCAGCCAATCAATGAAGCTTCTCTCTCATCCATGTTTCTCTCTCTCTACCCCCCTCCCTTTCGCTCTCTCAAATCAATAACAACATGTGTGTCAATCAATAAATAAGAAAGAAAATAAAGCACCCAGGGATGATCTTTAACTTGAAGAAGATGGCTTTGGGGAGAACAGGTGATACTTATTTTGTCTTAGATGGCATAACTAAAGTCAACGGGAAATGAAGGAAGCAGATTCCAGTGGAATTTATACAAGAGCCTCCTAACAACCAGAACAGCGAAAAGGGACTGGCTCACGAGAGTGCCGGCTCCTTGTCCATGAAAAGTACTCAAGACTTAAATGACCGCGTTTCCAAGGCGATGGCGGAGAAATCACTGTGCTGCGGGGGAGGTCGAATTAGATGCCTGCCAAGTAACATGCCACTATGAATCAATAACATCTTAAATATTTTATAAAAATATTTCATATGAATCAAGCTGAGATTGTACTGTCTTTGGACATATTAAAATATCACCGCATTATTCTGCAGAGAGAAACATTTTACTGATCCAGCCACACACTGCATTCCTGGGAGGGTGGTAGGCAAGCCGACAGCCATGAACCGATAAGGATGCTGGGCACAGCCGGGAAGACAGGACCTCAGCCCCAGTGACCTTTCCTCTCCGGCATATGGCTGGTCAGGAGGTTCAAAGCCCCCGGCCCTTTCTTACCCCTGGCCATGAAGACCGGACCCCCTGGCCTTTCGTATCCTGGTCATTCGGTGGACCCCCCTGGGACAAGCAACAAAGGACTGAGGGGGCCTTTGGCGACTCTGGGGACCTTGCAGGACAGACACCCTCGCCGCCCGGCACTCACTCTTGTCCAGGGGCCGGGTGAGCTCGGCCCCCACGTCGCCATCCGCGCTGGGGCCCTGAGGTTTCACCGTCAGCGGCACAAACAGGGACGTGTTGGGGGCTTTGGAACCTCCGGACGCAGAAGAGGAGGCGGAGGCAACGGCTGGAGTGCGCCCCAGAGGCCCGGGGACGGGCCCGCGGTGAG